ATCGTGATTCTGTCCGCGTCTCTGTCGATGGACGAGATGTTGTCTCCTTCCTGACTCAACTGGACTTGGGTTTCCACCAGTTCCACATGAGCGTTGGACACGCCGAAACGATTCAGCAGACTGTGCGTGTCCTCGACCGTCCCTTGCTTGCCAACCAACCTCACGCCGTTGACGTTCGTCCACGTGAAGCACGGGTAGTGCCTGGCGTATTCGGTTTTTCCAGGCGGGTGCGTTATCTGCAGGAAAATCTTCTTAGCGTCGCAGATGATCGCCTTCAGAACACGACCTTGATTTGCGGCAAGCAGCGTCTCCAACGGATTATTGTCCTCCGTGTAAATCCTCACCATTCTGGCTATAACTTTTCTACGTGTAGCACACTTCATATTTTCGTTGAATGCTAAAGTCGAGCTAAAATGTTCGTAGATATGTGTGTGTGTATATATATGGGTTTTTTTTTTTAAATCGATGACGTAATCAACTTCCAATGACGACAACGTTCGGTCTATCAGGCTGTTGAACGAAATAAAAAAAAAACAAACTTCGGTTTTCGATGACGTCATCAAAGTTCGTACAAGTCCGAATACCGAGGCAAAGTAGATCGTGGTGGTGGTGGTGGTGGTGGTGGTGGTGAAGGTGACGATGGTGGTATATGAACCGCCGTCACGATCGGTCTCGATGCTCGCATTCTATGACAATAGATACAGCAGCCGAAACACGACAGGATTATCAACACCAAGACGATAAAGGAATACCAGTAATCGTAACACGGCGGTTTCAATATAGACAAAAAGTACTGCGCCCCCGGCGCTATTGCACAAACGCGGAAGTGATAATTTTTATTCTGCATGACGTAGGGGTATTTAAATGACCAACCAGCAGCCTTAGACGTTAGAAAAATAATGAATATTCATGATATTATCGAAGAAGAGATGCTGAACAGTTGAAAAATACGAAGCAGTCACGATGGTCATGCTTCCCTAGTTGTGTGTGAGTATTGGAATTTTTACGATTTTTCAACCAAAATCCTGGGAAAATTCAACATGTTAATTTCCCGATTTTAGTGAGACAATAATTTTTTTTTGCAATTTTTGTGAACATGGCTACATAGTTCATGTGATTCCCCGTGAACTTGAGAACAAATATTAAAAAAATCTCTCTGACAACTGTTTTGGTTAGGATTTAATTTGGGTTTAAACCTAGCCGTATCCGGCCTCTCGCAAACACGTGTATATGTGCTAGCGTGGCCTAGCATATTGTCATGTTCACAGCTTGTAATGATTAACACAGTAACAGACATGCATAATATGGTTATTAATTTAATTCAACTGCTCTTTCATTAATAATAATACTCTGAAGTACTGTTCAGTGCAGTGTGCTAGCTTAAATTTCATTATAATATGGCCTAGCTAGGGCCTGGTCTACCCTATATTACCGGCCTACCCAGCCAGGCTAGGCCATGCCGGCCTCATGTACAGTAGGCTAAACAACAAGCCTCTAACTAAGCTTAAAATTATATACAGAGGGCCATGGCCTAAGGTAGCTAGGCCTAGCTATCTGCCACAGCCCTTCCCCCTTACATGTATTATGTTTAAACAAAACTACCTGTTGGTGGAGTATATATTAGGCAAACCTCCCCCCCGCCCTTAAATTTACTAAACGACTCCTCAAAACCCAAATAATTCACAGCAGACAGACCCAGTCTCAACAAAATAACTTTCATTAAGAATACCGTGTAGTAGTAATACAATTCAAAAAAATATATAATTAGGAAATATTGATTCGGAAATAGAAAAAAAAATTGTTTGCTGCATTATTTTTTTAACAACCGAAACAATGAAATTTTGTGACTGGAAATACAATAATTTTTTCTGTGTCCGTAATGTTATTTATATCACATCGGACAACCCCAGGGATGTTATATTACAATATATTTTGTACCAACAATTACAATTTTACAATTCATGTGTTGTTTGTAACAAATCAAATAAAGCAAAACAGCATAATTTTATTATAAGTACTTAACTAATTATGATCATGGGCTATTATTTAATTTTATAAAAAAGTTGGTATGTTATTTTGTATTCTTCAATTAATCATCATTTTTTTAGATATCCGTTTAGGCTTATTGCAGCCAAGATTCAACAGTTTGAAGCATACTGCCTTACTTGAAGACGTTTCACAAAGTAGGGAGAAATGGAAATGAATAGTCTGAGAAGTCTACAGAATGATAGTGAAGTAGGTAATGTATATATATTGTTCCTTTTATATCAGTGTCACTTACAATGTATTGCAGTTTTATTATGGTAGTCAAATGTAGATTTTTGATTATAAAATTATTATTTTGAAGAATTTCTTAGCACACTTTCATTGAAAAATTCCATTGTTTTTCAGATTTATTCTTTTTTCTCTGAAAGAAAAAATAAAATAACACTGTTATGACTCTATATTCTTATTTTTTCAAAAATATTTCATAAAGAAGTAATAATAAACAGTTATACCTACCAAATTTTCTTCTTTTAGGTTTTGCAATTTTCTGGAGAATGTTGGGCTGGGTTAGCAATGTATGCGAGCGCATCATTGAAGTTAACTGAGCAAGTCGATCATGCATTCCTGCAACTGTTCTTTTTCGTTGATTAAAAGATGCATGTATGGACTCGCCACCTTGCTCACTGATTAGTCCTAGCCCAAATTTCCAAGCCTTAAGTTGTGGAATCACATGCTCTTCAAGCATATGAAGCTTTGGTGATATTGTCATTGAATTTCCTGAATTTCTATATTCATCAATAAACTCTTGTATGGATTCACCTTAAAAAAGGGAAAAAATGTTATAAATAAGAATTCTTTTTTCATATTTTAATATAGACCGATAACCAAGCCTGCAAAAGCAACATGAAGACGGACAGCTTAGCAGCAGGTTTATATTCGTAGATGCCAGCAAAAACAAGCCAAAACAAATGGCCGCCTTGGAAACTATAGGATATTAGGTAACAATTTAAATACAGTACATACAATAACTTACCAATAACAGTTATTTCCTCATTTGACATTGGCTTTGAATGATTGATGTTATTGTGAACTATTGCAAATATATTTAGTAGTCGTCCATATTTGCTGACAAGCGATTTGACTTTTTCTGAAATAGCTTTTATTTGACCTAATGGTAGTTCAGTCTCCTGTAGCTTGAATTCTGCAACTGGGGCATTTATCAGGTCATTTAGCACAGCTTCCTAAAGAACACAACATGAAAATTACAGTATTAGCTTAATACTAGTTTAAAAATTGTTCATTATAGTGTACCCTTATCATACCCTTGCTCTTATGGTAAATGTAAATTTAATTTTTTTATTATTAACTGTATATTGTTATTTAAAAAAATTAAAAATATACCTGACAGCATTTGTGCACATGGTTGCCGATAAATGATCGGCCATGATATGCTTGTCTCTCTATTTTGTGCTTTTGTAGCACTTTCTCTATGGACACTGCTAATGGCCCAGTGCCAAATGGTAATCCCTCATTCATGGCTTTTGTCTGTTAGGAATATAAGACAGTACAGAATAAAAACTCATTTTAGTTTTGTGATTTTTTTTACATTAACATCACTATCCTCATTTTATCTTCATTTGCTTGTTTATTTAAATTTAACT